GATTATTTGAATGTGGGAATTAATTATTTTTTTAAATTCAATTATAATGCATAAATAATTCGAAATATTCGAAACCTCAGAGTTATGAATGAAACAATTTTCCTCTTTTTCATTCGCTGTAACAAATTATGATAATGTAAATAGATTTTTACAACGATGAAAATTGGAGGTTTAACTACTTCACTGGGAAGTAAGGGCTCTGGTAACCGCTGCCCTCTTCCAGGAAGCATTTATTCCATCCTAGTAATTGCGGCAATGCCCTTACAACTACCGGTTTTATTCCCAACAAAAACAATTTAAACTTTTCCCTCTCGACTGAATTCTCCTGATGATTCTCCTCCGACTTTCTCATTAATCTCGATAGGTAACACGATCGCGAAATTGAGAATCAGTTGAGCTTGTCCATGTGGCTAACCTGATTAACTCATCTTCCCTCAATTAACCCACTTCGATTGTAAATGAAAACTACTGTTAAATCGTTGTTGCATGAGTTATTTCTCTCGTCAGGTAAAAATCGTTTCGATCGGGTTGAGATATAGATCACTGCCTCCATAGAAATTTTCATCGACGAGATTACGATCGCATTATCAATCACTTTTTATCGACTTTCTGATGCTCCTCCTCAGGTTTTAAGTGCTAGAAATTGTAACCGATTTCCACTATTCACGGAAATGATAAATCCACGATGGGAATATACGAGTGGATAATTTATTTAGCCATTAATAATTTTTTTTAAATGATATATTGTTGTTCTCTTATGTTTTCTTGTGTCACCAGAATTTTCGCGAATTTTTTTATTGGAAATGTTTGTCAACAAAATTATTTATTATTTATTTTGGATGACGTGAGAAATGAAGTGATGTTGTGCTCTGGATGTGAGAGGGAATCGGACTCGCCCACTTCTCGATTCTCTCGTTGCCACATTCGATGGGACTGACGTCATTGGTATCTGTTTATGGCGATGTCGGGCCACGGCTATCAGGCCCCATAAGGAGACAAATGAACGATCATAACGTATGGCCCTGCCATAAAATCCGTGTGGTGAAACTCCACTTTTTCATTCGCTTCATTTCGAAGCACTTTTTCATTCTTATTTTCCCTTGTTTATCTCCAATTCTTCCATCACTGGGCCCCGACTTTCTCCATCCGGGGTGACAGGACGAGACTCGTCAAACCAATTAGTTGACTGCTCTGTCCTTTTATGAATTTATTTTATGGTGAGGGTTTCTGTGGATTCCCGAGAGATCAAATAATATC